TGGGGTCCCCAGAGGAGAGGGTGGAAGAAGAACAGCCAGGAAGAGGCTGGGGCTGGGAGGAAGGCTGGGGGGCCAGGGAGGGAGCCGGGAGCTGGGAGAGAACTTGGGATCACAAAGGCCAAGGGCTGACCCACTTGGTGAAAAGACAGTGGGCTCTGATCCCTGTGCCCTGCGGTCAGGGAGGGCTTCCAGTGGGGAACTAGAGGGCTGAGCCATTAAACTTGTCTTCAGCTAAGAACAGAGGAAGGTGGCTTGGGTATTGGGCAGGGATTGGGAACTGCAGGCCTGGCACAGTCCAGGGCAGGAACTGGATGGGTTTATTGTTCAGGTAGGAAACACGAGGCCCAGGAAACCAAGCAATTCACTTGAGTGTGGCAGAGGTGGAATGGGCACCGCAGCAGTTGGCCTCTGGATGCCCCTGGCGTCAGTAGCATAACCGTAGTACCAGGTTGGGAGTGGCCAGGGCATGGTGGTCCAGGGGCCTTGCTGGAGAGGGATTTTCACAGCATAGATGCAATGCAAGTATATGGCCAAGATGCAGGAGCAGTATAGCCTTAGGGGTGTCCCTGCATGCACAAACACATGTTTGTACGTCACTCAATTTTGTCTTTGAACTTCTGGTTCATGGCCTTTGCCAGTTCTTTGTTGTCAGTGTGACATGTTTGCAGTGTACCAGAAAAAAGTAAAAGTAAACCAAGAATAAGTAAACGTAAACCAAGCTGCTAGATCACAGAGTTACAGCTAGGGGGCTTCAGATAAAGCTCTAATTTCTTTTCTTTTTTTTTTTTGAGTTGGACTCTTATTCTTGTCGCCTAGGCTGGAGTGCAGTGGCACGCTCACGGCCACTGCAGCCTCAACCTGCTGGGCTTAGGCAATCCTTCCACCTCAGCCTTCCAAGTAGCTGGAACTACAGATTCATGCCACCAGTCCTGGCTAGTTTTTGTGATTTATTGTAGAGACAAGGTCTCACCAAGTTGCCTAGGCTGGTCTTGAACCCCTGGACTCAGGCAATCCTCTTGCCTCGGCCTCCTAAAGCGCTGGGATTGCAGGCTGAGCCACCGCACCCGGACAAAACTCTAATTTCAGACAGGCTTTCAGTCGTGTGTGGATTGGAAATACGTTTCTGATGGTGTCATTGTGTCATGTGTGCAGCAGCCCAAGGCAGTTTGCTAGTTTTCTAGCGATCCCGTGGCAGGGTGTCGAGCTGGCTTTGTGTAAATTCCTATTGACCTCGTGTATCCAGGTGGCGCTTAGTGCTGGCCCCTGGCTGGCCTAACGGGGGAAGGAGCAGGTTCAGATAGTGCTGGGGGACTGAAGCCGCTGTCTCTGGGGCCTGCTGCAGTGGGGCCCCTACATCCCAACCCTGCACCTGGAACAGTGTTTGGCACGGTGCGGGGTGCTGAGTGAGGAAGTGTGGGGTGAAGGACAGAAACATGGGCCATGCTTGTAGGCATCACCTCACTTAACCCTCCCGACAGCTCCTGGAGGGAGCTATCTGCTGCTCCTTTTACAGATGAGGAAGTTGACTTTCAGAGAGGACTCTGCCACGGGTCACATAGCCAAGGAGCATCCAAGCCAGGACTGCAGGCTGGTCTTCCAGGCTGTAGAGCACACACCGTTGGCCTAACTGCTGCCCAGCTGACGTGGCTGCAGTAGCACCGGCTCACCTTGTGTGTGGCCAGACGCCTTATGGCTGGTCCTTGCCTCTTCCAGGTTCTCATGCTGTCTTCTTAGGCTCAAGTGGGTGGGAGGCTGGGGTGGAGGAAAGTCTGGGCTTGTTAAAGAAACGGAGAGTCTGGAATGGCCGTGCCTTGCCACAGGAGCTGAGGGAACAGGAGGGAGTGTGAGTCCAATGCTTTGTGATCCTCAGCAGGTTACTGACCCTCTCTGTGCTTCAGCTTCCTTATCTGGAACCAGCAACCTCCCCTTACAAGGGCCTGACATAGAGAGGGCTACCCTGGCCCTTCCCCAGGCTGTCATTGTAGAACTCAGGGACATCTTGCCATAAATGGCAGCTTGTGTTGCTGTCAAGACCGAGAGCATTTGGGGATGCTGGGGAGGGCTGGGGAAGAGCCTGAAGCGGTGTGTACCACCCCAACTCTGGGGCTTGGCCTCCAGGCTTGGGGCTGGGGAGTGTTTTATGGGGGATAACTGGGCAGACTTTGTGCTTCCTGTTCTTGGAGGAATGTGTGGAGGAGGACTCAGAATGTCTGTGCCTCTGACCCTTTGCCCTCTCCAGGGAGCCTGGGCAGCCTACAGGCATTCCCCTGGATCGGGATGGAGCCCAGGGACTCTGGAAGGCTCCCAGAGTTGCTGGAAACAATAACTCTCTTTATCCAGTGCTCTGCCTACCTCCTGGCACTCAGCTGGACATGCTCATGCTGCTCCTTCAGCTCCTGGGGCGGTCGCTGCCACTCTGGTGCAGGTCCTTGCAGAACAGGAAGAGAGGCCTGGAGCGGCCAGCGTGTTTTTCCAGGTTCTGCCACGGGGTTGGGGCTGTCAGGATTCCAGCTGAGTGGTGTGCCCAGAGCTCCCTCTTGTCTTGCTGGGCCTGGCAGCCTCTTTCCCACCCCTACAGGAGAATATGTGCTTTCCCTCATGGTACTGAGGTTCAGTTGTCTGGGTACGTTTAGATGCCTGTCCGTCCCATCTTTGCCAGTAGGTTGGAATGTTCTCTGCGTTCCCCAGCAGGGCCTATGGGGATGCAGCCATGGAGCTGCTTGTGGAGCTGTCTGAGATGTGGCAGTCACCCCCACATACCACCTGCCCAAGCCAGGGCCTGTGTGAGGCGTGCGGGGTATAGGTGGCTAAGTCCTCAGGGACCCAGCCAGGGAACTAGTTAGGGGCTGGCTGTTGGGTGCCAACAGGGGTTGTGGCCAGGCTACTGTTAGGGTTCTGGCAGGAAACATACTTTGCATCAGTGAAGCAGCCAAGGAGAGTGTAACAGAGAGTCTGCTTACGACAGTGGGAAGGGGCAGAGGATGGTGAGCATTTGGGCTGGCAATGTGGCATGTGACGGTAGCCAGGATGGAGGGCCCCGTGTTCAGCAGCAGACGGCTGGCTGGCGGGAGCAGAGTCAGCACAACGGGAGGCCAGGGGGCCAGAGGATCTGTCTCCCTGGGGCAGAGAACAGGGGTCTCGAGGGGCAGATGGAAGATGGGGTATGCTGCATGCTCACTTCGGGAGGGTCCAGAGATCTGGGTTGAAGGCGCAATCGGAAAGGCTGGGCTTCAACTGAAATCCTCCGTTTGGCTCCGTTTACTGGGTCCTTGAAGAAAGGAATTCCGGACCCCGAGTCATGGGATTTCCTGTTGATTTCTGACCCCTCCAAGAGTCCCGAGCCAGGCTCTGGAACATCCTCCCTGCCACCTTGGGTGTGTGCTTCAGAAGAAAGGGCTCACAGTGCTCTCTGGGAAGGAAACTGCCTGTCCTGATGAGGCTGAGCCCAGCCCTCGAGAATGGCTTGGGGCAGCCAGTTCTCCGTCCCTGATGGCCTGCCTTGTGGGAGCTGGGAAGGACTGGGCCGCGGCCGCTGGGCCTTGAGGCTCTCTTTCGTCTTGGCTTCTTCCCAGCTCCTGTTGCCACCATCCCTGCTTCCTTGCCCCTCTGACCCGAATAAGGACACAGGAGGTGACTTTTGTCCCCGGCGCACACTGGAGTGCAGGCTGAGGTGTGTAGAAGTCCAGCATACCTGCAAGGCTTGCCGAGTTGCCCTCCAACCCTGCCCCTGCCACATGGACCCCCAAGCTGAGAAGAGGGGACATCCCGCATGGATGCCCCTTCCCACTTTCCAGTCTCACCACGTGACAGCAAACCCCTGTCAGCCCCACCCCCACAGACTACCCCCAGACCCTGAGAGCAGCCCTCTCTTCCGCCCCTCCGAGGACTCCTCTTCCCTGGCCGACACCCTCCAGGCCGGCCCCGCCCTTCCTGCAGGCCGCAAAAGGGCAGCTGGGCAAGAGCCTCACTCAGGGAAGCATTCCCGCGAAACCCCGGCAGTGAGGGAGTCGGGTGGCGTTCAGTCCCTGGGAGGCCGAGCAGGCTGGAAAGGCACTCTCAGTGGAGCTGACTCAGTCGTGCCATCCAGGCTGCACCGGGCAGACATCACCACCCGTCTCCGATGAACCCTACAGCCCCTCTCTGTCCAGCCTCCCGCTGGCGTTGACGCTGGTGGCAGAACCTCCGTGCTGCCTTTCTAGCAAGCGGCGTGGATGCTGGTGTCGCAGATGTTCACAGAAGCAGTCGGGGTGTCTGGGGATCCGTCGTGACCACACTTTTGAGTCTGAAAGAGTCCCTTCTGGCCATGCGGCAGGGCCCCTGGGCCGGACGGGTGTGGGCCTGGCTCGGTGTGGGCTCTTCCCCCGGGGTTCAGTGTGGATTCTGTTCCTCTCGAAAGGAGGCCTGCCACTCACCCTGGGGACAGGCCCAGCATGGATGAGAAGATTTCTCTCCCCCCACAAAGTTCACAGTCTGCAATTTTTGGGGAGGCAGTTGATTTGAAACTAACTCATGGTGCGGAGTAAGAAACCACTGAAGTCTGACAGTCTGGGATCAAATGTGAAACCTGCCTCTGCTGTGTGAGCTTGGGCAAGGCTGCCCCTCGAGACTGCCTCTGGACCCCTGTTCACCTCTCTGGGGCTTGGGTCCCTCATCTGGATGACCCAGAGTCGTGGGATTTCCTGTTGATTTCTGACCTCCAAGATTCCCAAGGTCTTGTTCTCAGTCAGGCACTGGAACATAATAATGTAACCATAGCAGCTGCGGGGTTGCCTTGGGGATGAGATGCTGGTCACCTGTGCCTGGGTGACATTCTATACCAGAGAGACTCTCTGGTCTCCTGAGGAAGGAAGGGGTGGCATGAGGCACACGTGGGAGCTGGGGTGGCCTCTGACCCCTGAGAGGCGGCCCAGCACCCTGGAGACCGCGAGCCTGGGGCCCAGCCCGAGTGGTTTTGCCCGTCTGCGCCCGCTCGCCTCTGCCTGGCCTGTCCTGACCGGGGCCGTCTCTCCCGCTCCAGCAACATGTCGGATGCCCTGGCCAATGCCGCGTGCCAGCGCTGCCAGGCCCGCTTCGCCCCCTCTGAGCGGATCGTCAACAGCAACGGGGAGCTGTACCACGAGCTCTGCTTCGTGTGCGCCCAGTGCTTCCGGCCGTTCCCCGAGGGACTCTTCTACGAGGTGAGGTCTGTCCCCTGGCCTTCTCAGACCAGCTCAGAGTCCATCCTTTGTGTGTGGGTGGGCTGGTGGCCAGCCAGGCCTGCCCAGAACCTTGCTTGCCGTCCTGTGCAGGCCCACGTCTTGCCGTGAATTGAGCTGTGCCCCTGGTTGCCCCAGATGCCCAAGGGGGGTCACTCTCCACCCAGCCTCCTCTGGGAAGGTGCTGAGTGGGCCCTGAGGGCGGGTAGAGGCGTCCTCATGGTGCTTGGCTTAGGCTGGGGTCAGACAGTAAACGGGGTGACTACATGGTCTGTCAGGTGGTGTGGTGCCTGGTGAGGGGTCTCGGGTGGGAGGTGGGTGTCAGAGCAGGCAGTGTACAGGCAGATCTGAGGGAAGGGGCTGTGTACATCTCGGTAGGAAGAGCCCTCCGCTGAGGGCACAGCTTGTACAAAGGCCCTGTGGTGGGAGTGTGTGGGGGCCTTTGTGGATGGCAGGAGGCTCATGCGATGGAAGCCAAAGGAAGGAGAGGGAGAAGAGGTGAGGGCGGGGAAGCGGATCTTGTCATGCCCCAGGTAGGGCCTGGTGCTGGGAGCAGAGGGTCATACCATCTGCCTGACCTTTGTAGAGGGCCCCTCGGGCCACTACGCTGAGGAGAGGTTGTAAGGGCGCAGGGATGGAAGCTGGGGGACCAAGTGGCACCAGGGGCTGGATGCGTGCAATCCTCCAGGTGAAAGGGGCGGGACCCGAACTGGTCCCCCCCGACTCACAGTGGCAGGCATCAAAGCTGCGGCGGTCCTGCCAGCTGGTTGCGCAAAATGACTCTTGTCACAAATTCAGTTGTGTAAAGTACAATGAGATAAGTTTTATTTAAAGATAACAAATACACAAAGCACACCGCTCACTGGTTATTGTGCTCCATTTTACTCTTGTCTGGGCGGCGAGGGTGTGTCTGCTGGGGTGGTACCCGCCACCACAATCCCCTCCTAGCTCCCCAAACAGTATCCATCAGGGCTTCCTGCTCCCCCACCCCCAGAGCTGGTTGTTAACCAGTTACCAGCACGCCACCGGCGGCTGCCGTGGTGGAGGTGCCCAAGGTCAGTGCTGGGTCTGTTTCTGGGCAGAGCTGCTGGGATTGGCGGGAGGACAGATGTGGGGGGATGATCTGGCTGGCAGAGGAGGGTCAGCTGTGCCTCATGGCCCTCAGCCCCCTAAGAAACACAGCCCAACTGCGGGGCAGCAGGAAGGGTGGGCAGCGCTTAGGGAGGGACGGCTGTGTACCTAGAGCAAAGGCTGGTGCCCAGGAGATGTTTGTGGCTGAATGAGTTTAAGCCTCCACGGCCTAGGTCACTGCGTAGGGCTGTATCCAGTTGCAGCCTAATAAGACTTATTTTAGAGAATGGGGAAAACCCACATTTTTTTTTTTGAGTTGGAATCTCACTCTGTTGCCCAGACTTAGGGAGGGACTGGGGTGCAGTGGCATGCTCCTGGCCACTGCAGCCTCGACCTGCTGGACTCTGGCGATCCTTCTGTCTCAGCCTTCCAAGTGGCCGGAACTACAGAAGCATGCTACCATGCCCGGCTAAATTTTTTGATTTATTGTAGAGACGAGGTCTCGCCAAGATGCCTGGGTGGATTGCAAACCTGTGGACTCAGTCACTCCATTCACCTCGGCCTCCCAAAGTGCTGGGATTACAGGCTGAGCCACGGAGCCCGGCCCACATTTTGTTAAAGGAATGCGTTTGTTAAGGGCGAAGGCAGAGCCAGACTTTGGCCATACCGGGGTCCTGTGCAGGGCCCTCGTGTCCACAGCCACTGCCCGCTGGTGTGCACATGGGCTCTTGCCGGCTGTTCTCCCTGGTCCTTGCCTCCACACCAGGTGCTTCCTCCTTTCCTGTCCTTCTGCCCCGCCCCCCAGGTCTTTCATGGCCTTGGGGGAGCTGGCCTTCTCACATGGAGAAGACACGGCAACTTGGGCCACACGACACACTTGCTTGCAGTTTGAGCTCGTCCCTCCCACGACGTGTCTGCTCTCAGGCCCAGCAGGCCCAGCTTCTCAGTGGGCAGCAGCGGCCCTTTGAGAGCCGGCCTGGCCGACCCCTCCAGCCTCCCCCAAGGACCCTCGCTTTGCGCCCCGCCGTCCACGTGGGCCAGTCTCCTTCTCTGGTCGGGCCGGGACCCAGTGCTGCAGCCTCTGCCTGGAACGCCCCTTTGGTGCCCTGCCCCTTGCGGTCGAGTCCTGACCCCACAAGGCCCAGAGTGGCTTGTGGGAGTAACAAGTGGCTTGCTTGTCCTCTCTGCACCCCGGTTGCAGTTTGAAGGCCGGAAGTACTGCGAACATGACTTTCAAATGCTGTTTGCTCCGTGCTGCGGATCTTGCGGTAAGGACTGGCAACGGCCCCCACCTTGGGGCTGTACAGGTGGCAGGGGCCCTTCCTGACCACCACCCTCCCTGCCTTTCTGGCACTGGCCAAAGTGCTTCCTGACCACCACCCACCCTGCCTTTCTGGCACTAGCCTGCAGGCCCCTGCAGGCGGCTCCTCCCCGTGAGGGGCTCCCTTGGGCCAGGCTGAGAGCCCGCCGAGCACCGGCGTGGATAGGCTGGGGGGGCTACTGGGGGTGGAGCTGCTCCCGCAAGAGCAGAAACCTTCCTCTTCCAGGTGAGTTCATCATTGGCCGCGTCATCAAGGCCATGAACAACAACTGGCACCCGGGCTGTTTCCGCTGCGAGCTGTGTGACGTGGAGCTGGCAGACCTGGGCTTCGTGAAGAACGCGGGCAGGTGAGGTGGGCGTCCGGGCAAGGAGGAGGGCCCCTGGCCACAAGTGCCACCTGTGGGGGCCAGGCGTGTGTCCACCGACCCCACGCCTCTGAAAGGTGGGTAGCACAGCCCCGACTTTTGGGTGAGGACTGCAACTGGGGTGCTCCATGGGACCCAGGCCCAGACGTGTCTCCGAACAAGGGATAGTGTGGAGAGGCGACCTGGCAGGAGCCGTCAGAAACCTCCTCCTAGGCCACCCCACCTTTCAGCCCCGTCTGGACTCACATGGCTGCGTGTGGCTGGAGGGAACTACTCAGCCGGATTGCCCACGCCGACTCTGAGTTCAGGGCCATCTGTCTCATGGGCGCTCAGAAGATGCCATCTTCTGGGAGCCTTGCTCTTCTGTCCTCACCCTTCACTGTCCCCATTGTGGACGGCCTTGCTTCCCACCTCCCCAGGGGGCAAGCTCGGGGGGGTCCCGCCACAGCACCTGCTCCCTGTCCACTGTCCGTGGGGCATGGCCCTGCTCATCCCGCACCTTCCCCAGGGCTCCTCTCTCCATTCCTGGCTCTCCCTTTCTCAAGGACCGCACTGAGGTGCCACGGGGCTCAAAACACCCTGCCGGCTCCTCCCGGTGCCTGGGGACCCAGACCTCCCTTGACCTCTCGTGGCTCTCATGGCATCCGCTGAGGGGCAGAAACACCACCCCTTCTGGTGCCCGGGACCCTGTGTTCTGGTGGTTTCCTCCAGCCGAGCAGATGCCCCTGCGCATCCTCCTCGTCTGGCCCACCGACCTCCCTGCCCCGCATGGGTGTCATCTGGGGCTCTGTGCTCTCGTGGCTTGCAGACACAGCCCCAGCGCTCTTCATAGCGTGGTGTCTGGACAGTTGTGGGGTCCACCCCAGGCCTCTCCCTCTCTGTCCCCGTGCCATCTCCACTCTGTGTGCACCAGGCATCCTGAGTGCCACTGGGCCCAAGTAAAGCTGAGTTTCTCCTCCACCGACGACCCAGGGGTGCTTTTCCATGCACCCCCTTGTCAGTGAGAAGCGGTACCACCCCCTGGAGACTCCTAGTCATGCGTTCTCTGCCGGTTCTTTCCTGAGGCTGCCCACATGGTCTCATCCATGATACTCCATGAGAGAGGCACATTGCCTGGCTCTTAGCAAGTTGGCTCAATGAGGAGCTGTGGGGGCATGCAGTGCAGGGCAGGAGCTGTGGGACAGCACCGTGCCTGGAGTGACTGGCTGGGTCGCTGACAGGTGTGTGTCTCTTTCCTGAGCCAAGTCTGTCTCCTTGCCTGGGGCTGTCGCCTCATGGGCAGGTTAGAGAAATCTGGAAGAGGTTAGAAGCCTGTTGGAAAGCAAAACGTGACCCGAAGGTGAAGAATTGCCATCCTGATAGCAGGAGTGTGTGAGCAGCGAGGTCCCCGCTCGCTGCCAAGCCAGGGATGGTGCACTGAGCCTGGGATGCAGGACTTCAGAGTCTGCATGGGGCAGATGCACACTGGAGCCACCAAACCAGAACCCAACAGGCCTCGCCTCTGCCACTGCGCTGGGTTTTGCCGTTCTTGGGCCAAAGGGGGACGTTCTGGGATGGGCTTTGTGTTGACCAAACACAATAACCTTCCAAGCCTTAAAGCCACAGTTGCGTTTCAGATCCATACCAACAAGTACAACAAAGGACCTGTTAGGGGATGCTTGAGGCTAGCAAGGGAAATGGCTCGAAGCTTGGCCGTGGAGGTTGGCTGAGGCCTCTCGGGCGGGAGTGAGCTCCCTGTGACTGCCCACGTGTGCCTGCTGTGCGCTCGCCCAGGACATGAGCCGAACTGGGCTCCTGCAGGGGAGCTCTGGGGATTGTCAGGCGACTGCAGGACAGTGTGTGGGTCGACAGCAGGAGGGATCAGGAGTCCAGAGCTGCGCGGACGTGCGTCGCAGGGTGTTTGCTGAAGTCACCCAGCCGCCAGCCTGAAACATACTTAACTTTCTGTTCACTTAAGCTCAGACAGGGATCATCTGGCAAAGGCACCACAAAGGGAGCTCAAAGCACCTTGTACTTCGCAGGTACTGAGACTCTCCCAACCTCTCCACCCGGACCCACGGTCCCTTTTCTCCTGGGTCATTTGTGAGCTGCCTTCTGGGTCTCGCTGCTGGACTTGGCTACTGTGTGTTTCTGTAGCAGGAAGGGGGCTGGGAGCCTAGTGGGAGAAAGAAAAACCCTCATTGTTTTGGACTGACTCCCCCGGCCTCCCGCCCCCTTACCATGGGTGAAGTCTGTGAGTGTCTGGGAGCCGCAGTGAGCCGTGGTGAGGGCAGCCCCTGCCGAGGGCAGGGCGGAAGGAACCTCTCTCAGGGGCTGAGGTTGAGTGCAGCGCTGGGTGACCTGGGAGCTCAGGCTTCAGAGGAATGGATGGGTCCCCGCTGAGATCTCAGGAGGTTTGCTCAGGAGGCCACTGGGGAGGAGGCGGACCTCTGCTGTTGACTCTAGTGGCACTGGTTTGGGAGCTGCTCTTTCTTTCCAGGTGGTCTGGGGCCAGCCCCAGTGGCATCCGGCTCACAGCTCCGACCTGGCACTCAGCGAGCTCTCGTTGGTCTTGCCTTCGAAGCTCGGGGGCGGGCCCGCGAGCCTTCTGCCGCAGAGCAAGTTGCGCAGGGCGTGGCGGAACTTCTCCGCCACGAAGAAATACATGACCGGGTCGAGCGCCCCGTTGAGGCTGGCCAGGCAGGCAGTGACGCGGTTTCCCAGGGCCAGGACGCGCTGGGCGGCGCAGGAGGTGGCACCGCGGCGGTAGCGCAGCACGTAGATGGAGCGGTTGACGTGGTAGGGCACGAAGCAGACCAGGAAGATGGCCAGCACCACGGCGATCATGCGCACCGCCTTGCTCTTGAGGCGCTTCTCCACGCGGGGGCCTTTCCGCAGGCTGCGGATGATCAGCAGGTAGCAGGTGACCGTGGTGGCGAACGGTAGGGTGAAAGCCACGGCCAGGGACGCCAGGGCATGATGGGAGGCCTTCTCACGGTACAGCTGCAGGCAGACGACCGTGTGGTTGGTCTGCACGGTCTGAGGGCTCACCAGCAGCGGGGCCATGGCCACGGCCACCACGCCCCACAGGAACGCGCAGGCCAGGTGGGCGTAGAGCGGCCGGCGGAGCTTGAGGGACTTGACTGGGTGCACGATGGCCAGGAAGCGATCAGCGCTGATGCAGGCCAGGAAGTAGATGCTGGCGTACATGTTGAGGTAGAACAGGAAGCCGGTGAGGCGGCAGGGGATCTCCCCAAACGGCCAGTGGCTCCCGGAGAAGTGGTAGACCAGGCGGGTGGGCAGGACCAGCACGCAGGACAGGTCGGCCACAGCCAGGTGCATGAGGAACACGTTGGCGGGCGTGCCTGACCTGTGGTCCCGGATGAAAAGCCACAAGGCCAGGGCGTTGCCGGCGAAGGCCAGGATAAAATCCAGGAGGTAGAAGGAGGCAAACAACACGTTCTCCAGTGGAGTCTCCTGGCCACATTGCTCCGTGGCGGCCAGGGAGGAGTTGGTGACCAGGTCCGGGAACACGGCCTCGGGGCCATTCATGCTTTGCTGGAGGCAGAGCCTGGGACAAACCTGGAGGGAACAAGCAGACGGTCACAGGGAGCCTGGGACCGGGAGGCTCATGCTCTGCGGAGCCCAGAAGTCGGCCTCTGATGTTCAGAGCCACCCTCTCTAAGCCTGGCATTGTCTCTGGGACTGTGGGGGGCCTCCTTGTCCATCTGGGGGGTGTGCGCATCAAAGTCAAAAACAGAGCCAGGCCTCAGCCTCCGCACTGTGCAGCCACGTCCCTGCTGTGAGGGTGGGGCCTGGGCCTGGGGCTGGGTGACCTGGGAATCTGCAGCTCATTCTCACCCTGCATCTCAGCTTTCGAGCCAGCGGGGTTAGCCCTGTGGCAGGAAGCGAGATGGGAGCCCCGCCTGCGTAAGGCTCTGGGTTTCCTGCTGTGCCCCCGAAGGGTGCTAGTGGCAGAGGTGGCACGTGGGGTCCCTGAGGCCCATGCTCGATGGGTGGGCGGTGTGGGGGGTGATGTGTCCCTGAGGCTGCCAGCTCCTCGGCCTCGGCCTTGGCAGGTGAGCCCTGCTCACCCCAGTGCCGGGATCCTCCCCGACCTGCCAGTAACAAGTATGGTGACCGTTGTGTCCCCACTTTTCTCATTCCCCCTGCTGGTTTGGATCACAGCTCCCTCAGGAATGCAGCGAGGGCCTCATGCTAGGAGGTCTGAGGCCTGCTCTGTCCACCTGCCTGAGAGCCCCAAGGTCTCTCCTGGGTGCTTTCTAGCCTCAGCTCTCCAGTTCCGCTTTGGACACCCCGACGGGTAGAGACCTGCTCAGGGAAAGCCTGTACTGGGGCCTCGGGGCAGCTGGAGTGCTTTTCCTCCCAGAGTGGTTCCCCAGCCAGCAGGTGGAGTCTTTTCCAGCAGGGGCAGTGCCAGCCCAAATGGAGGTAGAGACCACCAGAGTTTTCAGTTCAGATCTGCAGTCCCAGCGAGGCCTGAGGCCGCATGGCTGTCCCGCTGCAGGCGAGGGCAGAGCGCCACAGCCTGGGGCAGACCATTCCCATCTGGGGAGCCTGAATTCCGGCAGGGTTCCCTCACCCTCACCACAGCCAGACACCGCCTCCTGCTTTGAGTGTAGTCAACTCGAGATCCAAGAAGGAGAGAGAGGGGCCCAAACAGCCCGCCTGCCCACCGTGGCCTGGGCGTGGGGCTTGGGCAGAAGAGGGCAGGCAGTGGAGCCAGAGCAGGTGGGGAGCCCGGTGGGCGCACGGGCCTGGCCTTCCCTGCGTCTTGGGGCCACCAGGGCTTTGGCCTTTCGGGCGCTTGAGCATAGCATCTGGGGCTCCTCTGGGCCCCACCCGGCAGCCACGTTCTCTGTCCTGCGTGGCCAGGAGGCAGAAGGGGCAGGAGAGGGGTTCACGGGAGAGAAGGCCACGTCCTGCCGCCCACCACGGGACGGCAGTGGGGAGTGGAGGGGGAAGTGGGAATCAGCCCGCAGCCCGAACAGCATTGTCCTGGCTCTGCACAGCACAGCGGGGACCAGCCTGCAGCAAGTTCTCTTTG